TCTCCATCAAATAAATAAATAAAATCTTTTTTAAAAAAGTAAAAAAAAAAATAACCATGCAAACTGAATCTGCATAAAGATATCACAATAAGCAATGGAAAGTTACAATTTATCTTTTTCTAATTATTATTAATTTTTATTATGTTATGTCCTTTAATTTTTTTTCAAAACATTCAAAACTTCCTTACTGCCAATTTTAAATGTCTAAGAAATATAAAAATGGCAAAACTAATATTGGTTAATACACTGTAATTTAAAACATTAGAAACCTTGAAAATAAATGCTTTATTTCTTTATAAAAAAATGTATTCAGAGCAGTTTGAACAGTGCTTGCCTTCTTCCTATCCTGGTTAATTGTCATATTCCTTTCTTTGTTTGGATCAGCTACCAATAGTTTATCCTTTGTGCCTTTCAATGTTGTGAAATATCTCTAAGAGCACCTTTAGTGTGCTGTTGGGTTTTTTGTTCACATCATTTTTATTGAGACATCTTCATCATTTTCATCACAAATTATTCTCATTTGCATTAATAAACCCACTTCCCCTCAACTTTTCTAGCTGTTCAAGTGAGCAGTGTTCGGTCTCAGTTGATGGTTGCCGGGCTGGTATGTCTGGGTGTCTTTAGCATTTTGAGATCGAAACCAAGTATTCAGATTAAATTTCAAGGCTTCTGAAATGGTATGACATGGTCTCTGCTGATGGTGGAGGTGTCAGCGTTCTCACAATCAGCTAAGTCTTCTACAACCACATGTATGTTTGATTGGAATTTCATTTTCAGCATGATCACCTTTTCTTTTTTGCTGTACTTCCATTTTCATTGGCTAATTCTCTCTTTTCATTATGTGTTTAAAAAAATGTCACTTGGTTGGGGCGCTGGGTGGCTCAGTGGGTTAAGCCGCTGCCTTCGGCTCAGGTCATGATCTCAGAGTCCTGGGATCGAGCCCCGCGTCGGGCTCTCTGCTCAGCAGGGAGCCTGCTTCCTCCTCTCTCTGCCTGCCTCTCTGCCTGCTTGTGATCTCTGTCAAATAAATAAATAAAATCTTAAAAAAAAAAAATGTCACTTGGAATTATCACAGGGAGACACGGAGTTAACACAATTGCATGCTTTGCTGTGTGCGCATGAACTGAATAACAAATGTGGTGTCCACTGACATAGGTCACTGACCATAACCCGTGTTATTTACGTAGTGACTTGAGAACAGATGAACTAGTGGCAATGTTTGTACTTAATGCGATAACTCGAATGTGAACCCTGTTGCTGGGGGAGCAGTGTTATTTAACTAAACCATGTCTTAGTCGGTTTGAGCTGCTGTAACAGAAGACCATAGACTGGGTGGCCTAAACAACAATGATTTATTGTTCTAGAAGCTGTGAAGGCCAAGATCAAGGTGCTGGAGTTCTGGTGCTTGAGGAAAGCCATCTTTCTGGTGTTCAGGCAGCTGTCTTCTCATATATCACATGGCAAAGAGCAGAGAGAGAGGAAGACAGTCTTCCTACGTCTTTTATTATAAGGGCACAGATATCAAGAGGACCCACCCTCATGACCTATAACTCCATGATCCAAACTCCCCCATCTCAAAATACCATCACATTGGGGATTAAGCTTCAACATATGAATTTTGGAGGACACAGATATTCATTCCCTAGCACCATGGCACTGAAATTTGTGAAAATAAAAAGTTCGCAAAGTAGACACATACACAACACACATAAACACAATCAATGCATCACAACCTGGTTTTCTATTTCAGTTATTCTTTTTCCTTCTTCTGGTTTTATTCTTTTGCTTCAAATTTCATCCTATTCTTTCTGCTTAGATGCTTTTCTCATTCTCTGTCATTTTCATTAACATTGAAGAAAATTCTTCATTTTCTTATAGAATTATGGTGACTTCCTTTATTACTATAGAAGAAGACCTAGGAAGGCTTTCTGGGAAAACCTAGGAAAGCTTCCGCGAGCTCCGCACTGCTTTCAGTTAAGAGCTGGATGGGCAATTCTCTAGCCAGTTATCACAAAGACATTTTTGGGGGGGTGCCTGGGTGGCTCAGTGGGTTAAAGCCTCTGTCTTCGGCTCGGGTCGTGGTCCCAGGGTCCTGGGATCGAGTCCCACATCGGGCTCTCTGCTCAGCAGGGAGTCTGCTTCTTCCTTTCTCTCTCCCTGCCTCTCTGCCTACTTGTGATCTCTGTGATCTCAAATAAATAAATAAATAAATAGACATTTTAGGGTGTGGCTGATGATTGGTGGGGTGGCCATTTTTGTAGGCACAATAAGCTGGTTTTTTGTTGTTATCTGTGGGTATCTTGTGTTGATCAGAAAAAATCTGTACTCAATAAGTTGAGGAAAATGTCTTTAAGGTTTAGGTGCACTAAAAGTTTATGATACACTGAATGCAAAATGGCCCTTATTATTCACCCATCTCTGTGTCCACATCTTTGCCATGCAAATTTCCAGCTGCTCCTACAATCCTTGTATCTGGGCTGGCCTTGAGCCTTGGCCTTTGCCAATTAAATAAGATGGAAGTGATAACGTGCCAGTGCCTGGCTGCTTCTGCTCTGTCTTGGGCCCCCATAGGAAGGATCTTGGCTAGCAGAGGGAGGTTGAGAGACCATATAAATTTCAGTTGTCCCAAGTGAAGCCACCTTCGATCAGCCTACACCCAGATGACCCCCATATATGTGAGAACATCTAACCAAGGTCAGCAGAGCTACCAGCCTGATTACAAGTGCATGAAAGAGCCCAGCTGAGACTAGGAAAAGGGCTCCACTGAACCACAGGTTGGTGAGGATTATTATAGCACTTTGGGGCTTTTTAAATTCAGCAATAGCCAAATTATACTATGTTGTTTACGGAGGCAATGTTTTTTGTTCACCTTAACTGTTGCTGTAATCTATGTGTGCTTTGCTTAGTCTGAAGAGTAGGTAGCTGGCTAACCCCAAGCCAAGTCTCCCACCCTAACTTTAAACAGAACTCTTGGGGTACCATCAGTGTTGGGGCTGCTGAGCTGTCCAATCTGAAAGGGCAGAGACTGTGTCTGTCTTTCTAGGCACTGTTAAGTTGGCACATTGTGAAGTATCTGGTATGCAGAACCAGTCAGTAAATATTTGCTGAAAAAAAGAAGGCTGAAGGGTTTTCTTGAGGAAGAACAATACCTCCAGAGAAGACTGATTAATACTCAGTATATCTCACAAATTTGGAAAGATTTTTCTTTCTTTTTCTAATATTGATTTAAAAATATACCTTTTCCCCCCCGGAAAGAAAAAAAAAATTTCCTGTTTTGTACCAGTGATAGTGTTTCCGTGCAAAGTGAAAAATGGACCCACATTTATAAATGCAATAATATGAAGATAAACAAGGACCCAGGACGGTGTTTGTTAGGATCACCCTTGTTAAGGATGCCATCTTTGAGACGTGAACTTCGAGTTTTTGGCTGAATGCTAAAGGAGGCTCTATTTCCACTCCTGTGTGTTTTCTTATCTGAAGGTCCTTGTGAGCAAGGTCACAGATTTGAAAATATCAGTCTGAGTTTAGAATTTAGATCCTGTAGCATATCCATGGCTCACAAACTTGGTGGGGGGAGGGGGTGACATATTTTTCTCATTAAACCTAGACCATGTCCCAAGGTTTACCAGCCTAAGAACCAGCTATAATCTAAAGTAAAGGGGATAGTGAAGCAGAATATAAATACTCTTATTTTTTTTCTTTGTATAAGGAATTCACTCACTTAACAATCTGGAAGAAATGCCTTTAATTGAAATTTTAAAAAGAATCCAAAGTCGCAAACTTTATTTCAAAGCCCATGTCTGGCAAACAGTAAAAAGATTCGTGTTTCTAAGGCGTAAAGAGAACCATTTGGTATATGTCCAGGGAAACTTTTTTAAAACATGCAATCGGGGTGCATGGGTGGCTTAAGTGTCTGCCTTTGGCTCAGGTCCTGGGGTCCTGGGATCGAGCCCCGCACCAGGCTCCCTGTTCCACGGGAAGCCTGCTTCTCCCATTCCCTTTCCCCCTGCTTGTGTTCCATTTCTCGCTGGGTCTCTGTCAAGTAAATAAAATCTTTATAAAACTAAATAAACATGCAATCAAAATTTAATAAATGGTGCCCTAGTGGCAAGAACGAGATCATTTACATCCATTCTTTAGCACCTTGCTGGTCCAGAGGAGGCAGATCATGTAGTAGATCATACACCTGCTTGGTGTCCCAGATAGTTTCAGAGGCTTCTGATTTGCAAATAAGGAGGTTGCTAAGATCCCAGGCCGGCCTGTGGGATATAGCTGCCCAGAGAACTGGTCTAATGTCAACCACTGTGATCCTTCTGCAAACATTCTCCAGTCATTCTGACAATCTGACTTGCATCACACAAGTGTTCTTTGTCTACCCCAAGAAAGGATTTACAAAAAAAAAAAAAAAAAAAAATCAAAAAATCAAACTTAATTTTTTACATTTTTAAAATTTTATTTGAAAAATACAATACACAGCAGAGAATTATGTCCTCCCCTACTGCTCTTTCACAAAGGAAACTGTATGGTAAATGTAACTGTGATATTTGGCTAGGATAGATCCTGAGAAAAGAGAGGCCCAGTTAGAAGTGGAAAAGAACAAGTCTGTCAAAGAAGGTTCACCTCTCTTTTAACATAAAAGAGCCTTTTAAATAATCTTAGGAGTCAGATAAAACATGTGCAGAATTTCTGCCATGCAAACAGAGACAACTAAAATTTTCAGGCTGACCAATTTATACTGACCTGGGCCCCAAGGAAGTAGAATAAAAAGATGTCTTTATCAGAAAAGTAGGTGTTTGCCTGCTTTTACTAGACCTATATATGTACATATTTACAGGTTCATATTTTCTTAAATGTGTTTTTCATTATTTGCATTTATAGCATCACGGTTCAGGGCTCTTTGCTGGCTTTTTGCCTTATGCATGTGTATCTTTTTGTTTTTTCTGAATTTCTGTCATGGCAGGATCATTTAGTGCACAATCTTGGGCCCATAACATTTCACGTTAGAGATGACCGGATGCAGATCCTAGATAAAATCTGGGTTTCTGAGGAATGTCTGTAACTCCTGCATTTGAACCTGGTTTAACAAGGTGCAAAGACACAACATTTACACATGAATGTATAGCTAAGGCGTCCAACAAGAAAAACATTCCAAATTGGCTCCTTGGAAAACTGATTCTAGAACCTATAAAAGTGATTTAACTCCAGAAGTCTTACTGGTAATCCTGCGTCTGAAGACATTATAATCATCCTTTTCACTTCCATTTCTATTACTGTTATTGCCTAAAAAGGTCATTAAAGAGGATCAAGGCATTCGAAGCTCTTTTGTGTTTTAAATTTCCAACAATGTTGAATTGCTGTAGAAGTCTGAATTTGGTAGAAATTTGGATTTTCTGCTTTTGGCCCTACAAAAAGTGTTTTAACTCCCATAGTGATGGAAAAGAGCAAGTAATATCTATTTGGGGAATACTGGACAAGTCTTTGGTTGTATTTATTTGCAGATTTCTGTTGAAATTATAGAGAAAATTTGAAGTTTATTTTTTATTACTGTCAAGGTGGAGAAGATTCATTTCTGTCAACTAACTACTGCTCATATTAGACAAAGCTACTCAGGGTGTCTTTAAAAATTGTGGAGTTACGGTAGAAGAGTACATTTAATGGTGTAATCACAGCCAGGTCCATCTTCCTTATATTGACATGGTTTCATCCTTAATTTCACATGCTCAGTGTGAGGTACGTCCTTTGGGGCCTCTCCTGAGGGCTGGGGTTTAGAGCACTGGGGTGAGGAGTGCAGGAGAGATACCTGATTTAGTTTTCAACTTTACAAAAGACCTCACATCTAGACTCTTGACATTATTTTTAAAGAAAATTAAAAATAGGTTACCATATAGTTGCATATTTGAGAAGTGTTCATTCTTAAACCACAAATATTTCAAATACAACATAGCTCTTATAACTCTATTTTGGTATTTCTTCATTTTTTTAACATCATAGGTAGTTGTCCAGGACTCTACTGACCTCTGGAAGATTTCAATGTGTCCAAAATGATACAATAGCTGTGGTGTATTAGAAAATAACTAGTTCAGAAATTTAAATTCAGAAAACCTGAATTTAAATTTTAACTGCCTCCTACTAGTTAGTTGTATGACATTGGGCACATTATTTACCTTGCCTTGGCTTTATTTTTCTCATTTAGAAACAAAAGCCATTTTCAATGATTACACGAGGTTACTATAAGGAGTAAGTAAAATTATAAATGAAAATGTGCCTTATAAGCTATAAAGTACTATACAAATGCAACGTAAAATGCATTAACCGCATTTCTGGCATTTATAGATTTTAACTTATGTGTCAGAGTGTGGTTCTTTCCTGTTTAAATTATGAGGAATCTTGAGTAGTAAAAAGCCCAAGAATGGAGCCTTTCCCTCCTCCAGAGACACTTTTATCAGTGGAAAATTGCTCAATACATAGGGACCACTGCTAGATTTTGTCACTTAAAATACCCTAAGCACTGCCTGCATTCAAATCCGCAAGTCAACAATTAAACCACAATTGTCAGGAACAAAAGTCCAAATAAATAATTTTTAATTATGATACATTACTTATTACAGTAAAAATTGGCATTTTCCCCTTCAAAAGCAGAAGCACCAGTCTTAGAATGTATAGTATGAATGGTAATTTAAGTGAAATATAGCATAATATTATGTGCAAACATTATTTTAGTATAGAACATACCTTCTAAAAGTAAAGTAATTTCACACACTGAAATCTGTTAGAATGGAAATAATGTCATGCTGAATAATAACGTAAAACCCCCATGACTTTCAAAGTCCACTTCAAATGAAATGTGGTATACTGCTGAATAGATCTACGAACAACTAAAAAACTTAACTAGCCCCAAATGGAGGGATTTCTTATACAAGATGACTTGTGTAAGTTTCTTTTCACATAGTATCGGTGATTCTGCGAGAGACTAATATGAGTGTTTTATTTAAGAATTAATCTTTTCATTGGGTCGTCACATTTTACTTAACACCTACTTTGTGCGAGGCTTTGTTGTAGGTGCTGGGGATACAGAGAAGAAAGACACAGTCCTGCCCTTGAGGAGCTCACAGTCTAGTGGGGGAAAAAGATGAGTTGACACTGATTTTAAAATTATAAAAATTATTAGACAACTTTATAAACTTCTGTTGTAATCAAACAAACTTTGGGTGTTATGAGTGGACGGTGAACAGGGACGATGTCCAATGCAGTGACAAACCTTCTGCTTCACTATCATGTGACTTCTGCAAAGGCGGTGATATGGTTCTGAAAAAGAGAACGAATTACAACATCAGAGTCCTGGGGAAATTGGCTTTGGAAGGTATTTAGTGCTTTTATAAAGGATCGTTAGCTTAGGAGAAACTGTAGCCCATCATGTTTAAGCTGCCGAAACATGCATTTAAGTTCTATGTATTATATACACTGAACGGCTAATTATATACTTTATTCAATATTTTTAATTCACCGAGTAGATTAAGATGTAATAGTCACAATTAACACTGAAATTTGGAGAGATGAAAATGGCAATCCCATACATGTTAATATTCTGCTGTTAATGGAATTTTAATGTTGCCTGTTGAAGGTTCAGATTAATTGCTCCCTGTGAGACAGATGGCATACAACCAGTTGGTGTAATGCTCAGACTGAAAGTCATTTGCTGGTTAACAAAGATCTCCTTAAACACTTCATTTGTTTCCAGCTTTATTAAGAAATAACAGACATACATCACTGTATAAGTTTAAGGCTTACAACGTGATGGTTTGATTTACATGTTGTGAGATGATGACCATAATAGGTTTAGTTGACATCTATCTGCTTGTGGAGATACAACTAAAAGAAAGAGAAAATGGGAAAAAAAAATTCCCTTGTGCTAAGAACTCTTTGGGTTTACTGTCTCAAGAACTTTCCTGTATGTCATACAACAGTGTTAGCTATTGTCATCATGATGTCCATTACAGTCCAGGTACTTAGTTACTTTACAGTGGAAATCTGAATCTCTTTACCACCTTCCTCCAATCCCCGCTCCCCACACTCTTCACCTGGGACAATCCAAGTCTGAGCTTTTTTTTTTTTTTTTTTCTGTCTGTGAGTTTAGGGTTTTTAATTATTTTTTTAGAATCTACATGTAAGTGAGATCTGAAATCTGAATTATTTGACACAATGACTTCAAGGTCTATCCATGTTGTCACAAATGGTAGAATTTCTTCATTTTTATGGCTGAATAATATTCCATTATATATATATATATATATACACACACACACACATACACACCATAGCTTCTTTATACATCCATCCATCCATCAATGGACACTTAGGTTGTTTCCATGTTTTGCCTATTGTAAATAATGCTGCTATCAACAGGAGGTACAGATAACTTTTTGAGTTAGTATTTTTGTTTCCTTTGGATATATTCTCAAAAGTGAATTGGTGGATCATGTGATAGTTCTATTTTTAATTTTTTGAGGATTCTCCATACTGTTTTCCATAAAGGCTGCAACAATTTACAATCCTACCAATGGTGTGCAAGAGGTCTCTCTTCTCCACATGCATGCCAGCATCTGTTATGTCTTGTCTTTTTGATGATGGCCGTTCCAAAAGGCACGAGGTGCTATCTCATTGTTGTTCTGATTTGCATTTCCCTAATGACTAGTGAGGTTGAGCATCTTTTCATATACCTGTTGGCCTTCTGTATATCTTTTTTGGAGAAGTGTCTATTCATGTCCGTTGCCCATTTTTAAATTAGGTTATTTGTGTTTTGTATTAAGAAGTATGTATATATACTGGATATCAACCTCTTATCAGATATATGGTTTGAAAATATTTTTCCCAATTCCGTAGGCTGTCTTTTCACTTTGTTGATGGTTTCTTTTGCTATGCAAAAACTTTTTAGTTTGATGTAGTCCCACTTACTTTTGATTTTGCTGCTTATTCTTTAGGTGTCATATTCAAAAAAATCATTACCAAGACCCCTCAACGAACTTTATTCCTATGTTTTCTTCTAGGATGTTCATGGCTTCAGGTGTTACATTTAAGTATTTAACCCATTTTGAGTTAATTTTTATAGGGGTTAAATATAGGTCCAGTTTCATTCTTTACATGCAAATACCCAATTATAACATCATCATTTATTAAAAAAAACTATCTTTTCTCCATTGAGTATTCTTGGCTTCCTTGTCAAGTATTAGTTGACTGTATGTGCTTGGGTTTATTTCTCAGTTCTTGATTCTGTTCTTTTGGTCTATTTGTTTTTATGCCAGTACTATAAGTAACTATTTGATAACTATTTCATAATAGTTTTGATAACTATTTTGATAACTATTGATAACAATTTGCTTTTGATAACTACTTGTTTAGTTTTTGATAACTACTGTTTTAGTACAGCATCAGGAAGTGTGATGCCTCATGTTTTCTTCTTTCTCAAGATTTCTTTGGTTATTCAGGGTCTTTGTGGATCTGTATAAACTTTAGGAGTTTGGTTTTTTTTTTTTTTTTTAAGATTTTATTTATTTATTTGACAGACGGATAGAGAGGACAAGTATGCAGAGTGGCAGGCAGAGGGAGAAGCAGGCTCTCTGCTGAGCAGGGAGCCCGATGTAGGGCTCAATCCCAGGACCCTGGGATCAAGACCTGAGCCGAAGGCAGCCACTCAACCAACTCAGCCACCCAGGTGCCCCTAGGAGTGTTTTTATTTATTTATTTTTTTAGCTCTGTACAAAATACCTTTGGAATCTTGCTAGGGGTTGCATTGAATCTATAGATGGCTTTTGGTAGGTAATAGTCACATTTTAATAACGTTAATTCTTCCAATCCCTGAACATGGGATACTTTCCCATTTATTTGTGTCTTCTTTGATTTTTTTCTTCAAGGTCTCATAGTTTTCAGAGTAGAGATCTTTCACCTCCTTAGTTAAATTGATTCCTAAGTATCTTATTGTTTTTGATGCTATTGTAAATAGGATTTATTTACTTATTTATTTATTTAGAAAATTCATTGTTAGTGTGTAGAAATGCTGATTTATGTATGTTAATTTTGTGTTCTGCAACATTACTAAACTCATTGTTTAGATCTAATAACAATTTTTGGTTGTGTCTTCAGGGTTTTCTCTATATAAAATCATGTCATCTGCATATAGAGTTAATTTTACTAGTTCCTTTCTAATTGTGATATCTTTTATTTCTTTTTCTTGCCTAATTGCTCTAGCTGGGACTTTCCACAGGACTATGTTGAATGGGAGTGGT